TTGTAAGGCACTTGTTCCTAGTAGCGATGCACTTGTTCCTAGTAGCTACTTGTTACTCTAGTAAGGCACTTGTTACTAGAAGCGATGCACTTGTTCCTAGTAGCTTCTTGTTACTACTAGTAAGACTTGTTACTAGAAGCGATGCACTTGTTCCTAGTAGCTTCTCGTTACTCTCGTAAGGCACTTGTTACTAGAAGCGATGCACTTGTTCCTAGTAGCTTCTTGTTACTACTTGTAAGGCACTTGTTACTAGAAGCGATGCACTTGTTCCTAGTAGCTTCTTGTCACTACTTGTAAGGCACTTGTTCCTAGTAGCGATGCACTTATTCCTAGTAGCTTCTTGTTACTACTAGTAAGGCACTTGTTACTAGAAGCGATGCACTTGTTCCTAGTAGCTTCTTGTTACTACTTGCAAGGCACTTGTTCCTAGTAGCGATGCACTTGTTCCTAGTAGCTTCTTGTTACTACTAGTAAGGCACTTGTTACTAGAAGTGATGCACTTGTTCCTTGTAGCTTCTCGTTACTACTAGTAACGCACTTGTTGCTAGAAGCGATGCACTTGTTCCTAGTAGCTTCTTGTTACTACTAGTAAGGCACTTGTTACTAGAAGCGATGCACTTGTTCCTAGTAGCTTCTCGTTACTCTAGTAAGGCACTTGTTACAAGAAGCGATGCACTTGTTCCTAGTAGCTTCTTGTTACTACTACTAGTAAGGCACTTGTTACTAGAAGCGATGCACTTGTTCCTAGTAGCTTCTCGTTACTCTAGTAAGGCACTTGTTACTAGAAGCGATGCACTTGTTCCTAGTAGCTTCTCGTTACTACTAGTAAGGCACTTGTTACTAGAAGCGATGCACTTGTTCCTAGTAGCTTCTTGTTACTACTAGTAAGGCACTTGTTACTAGAAGCGATGCACTTGTTCCTAGTAGCTTCTCGTTACTCTAGTAAGGCACTTGTTACTAGAAGCGAAGCACTTGTTCCTAGTAGCTTCTTGTTACTACTAGTAAGGGACTTGTTACTAGAAGCGATGCACTTGTTCCTAGTAGCTTCTTGTTACTACTAGTAAGGCACTTGTTACTAGTAGCGATACACTTGTTCCTAGTAGCTTCTTGTTACTCTAGTAAGGCACTTGTTACTAGAAGCGATGCACTTGTTCCTAGTAGCTTCTTGTTACTATTAGTAGGGCACTCGTTACAAGAAGCGATGCACTTGTTCCTAGTAGCTTCTTGTTACTACTAGTAAGGCACTTGTTACTAGTAGCGATGCACTTGTTCCTAGTAGCTTCTTGTTACTACTAGTAAGGCACTTGTTCCTAGTAGCTTCTTGTTACTACTAGTAAGGCATTTGTTACTAGTAGCGATGCACTTGTTACTAGTAGCTGCTTGTTACTATTAGTAAGGCACCTGTTACTAGTAGCGATGCACTTGTTCCTAGTAGCTTCTTGTTACTACTAGTAAAGTACTTGTTCCTAGTAGCTTCTTGTTACTACTAGTAAGGCACTT